TATTAACCTCGCGAAAACAGAGTACCTATCTATAAGTGAAGAAGAAAAAGAAGATCTACAGATTAATGACAACGTAACAATCAAAGACAAATTTAAATACTTGGATTTATAATCACGAAAAAGGCAACAACAGAGGAAGAAATTACGCAAAGATTAGGACAAACAAGAACAGCAATCCGACAACTTAACTCAGTATGGTATATGAAGACAAAAACACAGATTTATAAAACATTGGTGCGAAGTATTATGACATATGGGACTGAAAATTGAATAATAAACAAGAAAAACAGCAGTAAGATAGTAGCAACAGAGCTGGAATGCCTGCGAAGATACTGCAGCGTAACAAGAATGGATAGGAGAAATAATGACGAAATAAAGCAAAGAACATCAATAGAAATAGACATACTAACATATATAGAACAAAAAAGACTAAAGTGGTATGGACATGTAAGAAGAACTAGCGACAGCAGATGGATAAAGAGAATAACCGTGGGGCTTCCTATGGAGCCCCATAGGAAGGAGGAAAAGAGGACGACCCCGAAGATCCTGGAAGAACGAAGTAGACGACGCTATGAGTAAGAGAGGATTAATGTTTTAAACAATTGTTATAGAGAGAACCCGTAACAATAAAATCTTAACTTCTATTGACTTACATATAAGTAGGTACCTACATTATTTTTTTTTTCATTATATTTTTTTTTTTTATTTTTTTTTATTTTATTTTTTTTTATTTTCTTTTTATTTTTTTTATTATTTCTTTTTTTTTATTTTTTTTTATTTTTAGTGTTTTTTACTGGAAGGAAAAGGAAAATATATGGTTTTGCTGATTTATTACATACGCCTAGGGGTCTATCAAGGCGATTTGCACAACACAAAATTAGACCACGGATAGAAAGGTTAACAACTGGGTTAAAACAAAGGACTTATATAACTAACTTTTTATGTTTGAAATATATACACTGTTGCCATAATACATTTAGAAATTCAATTTCATTTTACGTACGTGACGAAAAATTATTTCATAAATATGCAAGTTATTGGTTTTTATTAAATCTGATAAATTAAAAGGTCTTCTAATAAGAATTTTTTCCTTATTGATATACTCGTATATTTTTATTATAAATTGGTTTATACATCGTGTATTTAATGAGCAATTTAAAACTAAATGCTCAATTGAGCCTTCTTCGCCACATTCGCAAAATGGAGTTTCAGCTAAATTAATTCTGAACTTATGTAATGGAGACAGAGCATGATTAAATCTTATTCTACATAGTATTCTAATCATATCTTTATTTATTTAAATTTAAATTTAAATTTAAAAATTTAACATTTTTTTCCTTAGATGAGAATTTAGATCCTCAATTACACATTTATATTCTGATTCTTTAGATGGTTCATTATATTTAGCAATTTTGTCTACTATTTCATTATTTAATATTCCACAATGAGCTTTTATCCAACAAAACATTACATTAGATCCTCTTAATTTCATTGTACCCACCAGGTTTATAATTTCAGATAACACATAATTAAATTGAATATTGTTATATTTAGAAATATTTTCAATTTTTTTTATTGAACTTTTACTATCAGAGAATATAACGTAATTAGATTTTGTTCTTAAGAAATTACTAATGTATTTAAGTGCTTCTAATATTGCTATTAGTTCAGCGGTATATATCGAGGTTTTAATATTTAGATCTACTACTGTACTAAATTTTCGATCTGGATCGTAAAAGGCAGATGTAACCTTTAAATTTGATTTAGATGCATCCGAAAAAATATATGAGTAATTAGGGAACATAGAGTTTATGTCAGCTTGGAACATGCTATTCCGGATATATTGTGCGAATTCTGAGTAGTCTCTAAGATATCCTACTTTTATGCTCTCCAAGTGTTCTAATTCTATTTTAAAACAGGGTAATTCTCTTGAAGTCGAAATGTCCTTACTAAGTTGTATCCTTACGTATTTGTACGATTCAATAATAGGAATTGTAGGCTTTTCTTGCCAATATTCCTTGACTAGATCGTAAATACTGAGCTCGAAGCATTTTTGGACTACCGGACTTTTCTTTGCATACATTTTTAATAAAAACTTCTCCGTTAAGTAATCTCTTCTGAAATTTAGTGGAGGTTCATTGCATTCTACGTTTAAATTTGAAATAGGTGTAGGTACTCTTAACTGCGCCTATACTTATTCTCAAGACTTTATTTACTAGCCTATCTAATTTCTTCAGATAAGTCTTCGCTGCTTGACTATAAAAAATTGACCCATAATCTATTATTGAACGAATATAAGCTTTATAAAAGGTAAGTGTAATATTTGGATCAGCTCCCCAACTTGTATGACACACTGATCTTATTGCATTTAATCCTTTTTCTGTTTTTGTTATTAAGCGGTCTATGTGTTCGTTCCACAATAACTTCCTATCTATTACCATACCCAAATAGTTAATGGATGATTGAACCTTAAAATTAACGTTATTGAATACTATGGATTGTGGTAATCTATGTTTTTTGGAGAATATACATGCTTGGGTTTTCTTTGTAGAGATGCTGAGACCTATATTAAAGTAATACTCTTCTATTGTCGAAAACATTTCACTCATTATATTGATACCTTGATCGATTTCAACTTTAGGTACATATATACACACATCATCAGCAAACTGTAGAACATTTCCTCTTGTATTAATTTTTTTGTGTAAGTCTGAGGTATAAATGAGATATAGTAAAGGACTAAGGATGCTTAATTGCGGTAACCCAACATTAGAAATTCTTGGATCCAATAGTTCATTATTGATTTGAAGTTGTAGATTCCTATTTGAATACAATTTTATTATTCTTTTACCAAAGTAACTGGGTATTCCTATCTTCTCCATTTGTTGATAGAGGATATTTAATTTGATATTATCATATGCACCTTCTACATCTATGAATAGAGATACCAGGGATTTACGTTCAGAAAAGGATATATTAATGTCTAGGATAAGGTTAGCTATATTTTCTGATGTCGATCTTAGTTTACGAAACCCATATTGTGTATCACTAATTTTGATATTTTTCTCTAACCATAATTCAAGTCTTCTCTTTACCATCCGTTCGAATGTTTTTAAAATACACGATCCTAACGAAATTCCTCTATATGAATCCGCTGAGTCTATATCTTTATTTGGTTTTAAAATCGGTATAATTACATAATCCGTCCATGAATCCGGAAATTCAGCTTTCATCCATATTAAATTAATTATATTTAACAATTTTATTTTCTGACACCTTGGCAAGTAATACAGCATAATATAATGGACATTGTCTAAGCCAGGAGCAGTATTTTTTTACACTTTAAACTATATTCTAGTTCTTTTAGAGTAAATTTATTTAACAAATAGTTTGAATTATTATTACTCACTTTGTTAGGATGGTCTACATTTAAATTTGGTGAAACCCAGGGCGGAGCTAACTTATTTAAAAATTCTTCAGTCCAATTATCTTTTTTTACTTGATTTTTTGGGACATTATAAGTATTTTTGATTTTTTTAATTTCTTTCCAAATTTCTTGGACCGGAGTATTTTTATTTAATTTATTACAAAATTCTCGCCAAGAAGCTTTTTTACTTTTTAATATTGTTTTTTTCTTAATTGCCTCTGCTTTCTGATATTTTATGTAATTTTCATATGTACTATTTCGTTTAAATTCTAAAAAAGCTTCTTGCTGAAACTTTATAGCTTGTGCACATTCTGGGTTCCACCATTTTTTATTAAACTTACTATTGATCGTCATTTTTTTCTTAGGTATTGATAATTCACAAGCATCATTAATTATATTGATAAATGTATTATATATGTTATTAATATTTTCATCAGTATTTATATCTTTGGTGTCAATAGTTTCAAGAATCGAAGAAAATAACGACCAATCTGCTCTGTTCACGTTCTATCGGGTTCTCTCATTAACTATTGTTATACTATCAACATCGCTTTCAATTATTATTGGAAAGTGATCAGAACCTAGAGCTACATTTTTTACGTTCCATTCAAAACAGGAAGATATGTCACTGGAACATATAGTTATGTCCACAGCTGATTTATTTCTACTGTATAATCTAGGTATTATAGTTTCGGCCCCATTATTTAAAAAACAACTCACAGTCTTCTATTGCTGTTAATAGACTAAGTCCAGCTCTATCATTCTGATCGCAACCCCATGCATTATGGTGACAATTAAAGTCTCCTGCCACCAAAAATGGTGTACTTAAACTATTAAAAAACTTTTTCCATTCACTCTCTGATACGTTTAAATTTGGTTTTGCATACACTGAATATATATTAAGAACTTTATTTGATTTTAATTTGACTGTTATTGACATACTCATAACCTGATTGATTTTATGATGATTTGGATGACCTGTGAACTGAATGTATTTTTTAGTTAAAATAGCTAATCCTCCATAACCATCATCTCTATCTCTACGAAATATATTATAACCACTGAAATTAATATTATTTTTTTCTTTTAACCACGTTTCACTAATTATAGCTATATCAATATTATTTTCAAAAATAAATTTCTCAAAATGACCTTTATTGTGTACAATGGACCTAGCGTTCCACTGTACAATTTTGAACTTATTCATTATCTGCGAGAATACGACTTAAATTATTTTTAAAATCGTCAAACATTTTTATATTCGTTCAAACCTTCAGTTCAGTCTCGTTCAAACCTTCGTGTCGAAAACATCGAAGAAAAACTTGTGTATAATTATCTTATCTTTTTGTAATTAGTACCTATAATTAGTATAAGCCATTCGTTATCAAGAAAGTTAAAAATAATAACCGAAAAAAGTGTTTGTATTCAATGTTGTTATAATTATCCAACAAGGAATCGAATTAATACAAATTTAATTACATTTATTAACATAAATATAAATAAAATAGTCCGGTATATTAACAAAATATGCCGGAATGTCTCAATGATTCCAAATTGCAATTAGTGGAAAAATATGGATCACCAACTAGATAACCAAGACCCAACTAGTTATCAACGCATTGAGGACATAAATCCAGCCATTAGAAAATCCTGCCTAGCCCGGACACCTCCACCTGGAAGAAATCGAAAAGACAGTTACAACTCACTAGATGAACAGAAGAAAAAATTTGAAACACGCAACAACGATCTACATACACATTTACCAAACTTTCAAATAGAGAAACCAGGAAAAAATCTCACAGATGAAGATGAGGTAAAAAGTGATAGTGAATGGGTATCAGTCCACCACAAAAAACGTCAACGCAACGATGATAGTCCTGAATTGAAAAACTCCAAACAAGCTACACTCAAAGATTATTGGCTAAGTAAAACTGTTCTTACATCAAACAGATACGAGGCACTTGAAAATAATACAACTAGTGAAGAGGCTGAAATGCTGGAAGACCAAAAAGATGAACAGCCACCACCTATATTTATACAAAATGTCGAGTGTATCAAACCATTACAGGAATTATTACAGCAGATAACTCCAGGTAAATATACTTTAAAATGTCTTGCTAACAACCAAATTAAAGTTCAAGCCGACTCATCCAAAAACTATTCATTAATTGTAAAATCTTTAGCAGAAAAAAATACTCAGTACCATACATATCAACTAAAACAAAACCGTGGATTCCGAGTTGTTATACGTAATTTACATCCTTCAACAGATCCAGATGACATTAAAAAAGCGCTGCTGGTGCACGGACATACAGCACTGAACATCTCCAACATTAAGCAAAGAGGCACAAAAAAAGATCTGCCATTATGTAATATAGAACTGGCCATTCAAAGTAATAATAAAGACATATATGATATGACAAAATTACTCAACTCTATTGTCACAGTTGAGCCACCACACCCGAAAAGGGAACTACCCCAATGTCAAAGATGTCAGCATTTTGGCCATACGCACAATTATTGCCACAGGAGTACGCGCTGTGTAAAATGCGTGGGCAATCACCTATCTTCTCAATGTCCAAAACAAAAAAACATAAAAGATTTTCAATGTGTAAATTGTCTAGAAAATCATCCTGCCAGCTATAAGGGATGTTCAGTGTACAAAGAGCTGCAGAAAAAAAAATTTCCAACACTGCGAAAAAAAAACGCCAGTCCTCGTGCAGTAAATCCTTCAATGACTTAACCAACCATCAGCTATGCGAAAATTGCTGCAGGAAGAGAAAATAGAAATACATCTAACATAGATGAGACATCTCATGCAATAGAAACAACAACTCCTCAACATATACAAAATAATCTAGAACTACTAGTACATAAGTTAATGGAAAGAATGGATAAGATGTTTGATCTCATAATGTCTCTGATATCTAAGCTTAACCTTCAACACTAAACTAAAGATATGCTGTTGGAATGCCAATGGCTTAACCAATCATTTCCACGAAGTTAAAGCATTTATTTACTCCCATAATCTAGACGTAATGTTTATTTCCGAAGCACACATGACTAATAAGAGCCATTTCTATATTCCCAAATATTTAACCTATGTAACTCATCATCCATTAGGTAAAGCCCACGGAGGTACGGCAATTATTATAAGAAGCAACATTAAGCATCATGAAATAAATAAAATTAGTAAAGTTAACATCCAAGCCACATCAGTGTCGGTCGAAGATTCACAAGGCCCGATTATTCTATCTGCTGTTTACTGTCCATCGAATAAAATAATTAAAGCAGATCACTTTACTGAATACTTTAAGATGCTCGGACACCGTTTCATTACTGCTGGAGATTTTAATGCCAAACATCATAAATGGAGTTCCAGAATCATAACCTCACGTGGACGAGAATTATTAAAAAGTATTAATGAGAATCATTTAATTCCTTTCTCTACTGGAGAGAGTACGTATTGGCCCACCGATAGACAAAAAATTCCTGATCTTATTGATTTCGCTATAGTAAAAGGAATATCACATACCTATCTCCAAATTTCTCCTTCATTTGACCTCTCATCAGATCATTCCCCTTTCTTCATAGATCTACATAGCCAAATTCATAACTGTCCTAAATACCTAACACTCTCTAATAAAAGAACAAACTGGAACAGATATAGAGAAGAAATAAAAACAACCATTAACCTAAACTTACCCCTTAAAAATGATAGCGACATAGAAAATGCAGTTGCTCACCTAACTACAGTTATTCAGCAAGCTGCTTGGACGTCTACCCCAGAAATTACTCACAAACACAACTCTGAGTCCTATTCTGCTCACATAAATTCACTCATATTGGAAAAAAGAAAACTGCGGAAGAAGTGGCAGCTCACAAGACATCCAGAAGATAAAGCAAATCTTAATAGAGCTTGCAGACTACTCAAAAGAAAACTGATCCAACATAAAGACAATGGAATCAACAGATATTTAAAGAACCTCTCACCTGCAGATGATACAAACTATTCGCTGTGGAAACTAATAAAAAAACTTAAACACAACGATCAAATAAAGATGCCAATCAGGAAACAAAATGGCACTTGGGCTAAAACTGACATAGATAAAGCATATACTTTTGCAAATCATCTATGCGATGTATTTCAACCGCATCAGAGGGAAGTCTCAGTTGAAGAAGAGCAGTGTATTCATGAAGTCGTAAATGCACCATATCAAATGGCTCCACCTATTAAATCTATTAGGAAATCAGAGATCAAAGAAATAATTAATAATCTGGAAAATAAAAAGTCACCTGGATATGACTTAATATCTAGTTTAGTACTAAAAAATCTACCCAACGAAGGCGTAAGTTTAATTACTTACATATTTAATTCAATATTAAAAACAGGTTATTTTCCACTCCAATGGAAAGTTGCTCAAATTATTCTTATTCCAAAACCTAATAAAGATCACACGGAAGTATCTTCATATCGCCCAATTAGCTTGTTGCCTATTATATTCAAAGTATTTGAAAGGCTTTTTCTGAGAAGACTGGAGATTATTTTATATGACAGTAATGTTTTACCAAATTATCAATTTGGGTTTAGTAAACAACATGGTACTATCGAGCAAATTCATAGGGTGGTAAAGACTATCAGAAATTCGCTCGAACAAAAAAAATACTGTACTGCTGCATTTCTAGATGTCTCTCAAGCATTCGACAAAGTATGGCATGTAGGTCTTATCTCTAACATTAAATCCATATTTCCTCATCCTATAAGCTCACCCTACCTGACAGATCGATTCTTTCAAGTAAAAAGAGGTGGGGAAATCACTAACCTGTTTCCAATTTGTTCCGGAGTTCCACAAGAAAGCATACTAGGACCCACCCTCTACTTAATATACACATCAGAACTCCCAACGACGACCAATACAACAATCGCTACATATGCTGATGACACAGTTATCATGGCTTCAAATTCTACAGCAACTGAAGCATCCCAGGTATTACAAAACCACCTACTTAAACTAGAGAGCTGGCTTAAACTGTGGCGAGTCCAAGTTAACAGTTTAAAATCAACACAAATAACGTTTACTTTAAAAAAAGATGTCGCGCCACCAGTTTCTATAAACAACACTCCACTACCAGTTAATACCGTCGTTAAATACTTAGGAGTTCATTTGGATAGCAAACTTAATTGGGGTATTCACATCTGGAAGAAACGCCTTCAACTCAGCTTAATCTACAGGAAAATGTGTTGGTACATGAGTCGAAAATCTAATCTAAGCCTGGAGAACAAACTTCTAATATATAAATGTATTTTAAAACCGGTATGGCAATATGCAGCACAAATCTGGGGTACAGCAAGTAATACCAACATACAAAAACTTCAACGATTCCAATCGAAAGTACTGCGCCAGATCTGCAATGCCCCTTGGTACATTACGAACTACAGATTACACCACGATTTACAGTTACCAACAGTTAACGAAGCAATATCTGCCGTAAACGCTGTATACAAGACCAGACTATCCTGCCATCCAAATCCGCTGGCCACGGATTTGCTCAACATTTCACACCAAAGAAGATTAAAACGACCAGACCCTTTGGACCTCTAGTAAACATGGAGAAACAGAGTATAGTGTCATAGTGCGGTGAAATAACAAGTTTTGATTCTGGTGTTTTCTAAATCTTTTCTTGATTTTTTTTTCTTTTTTTCCATTTTTTAGTCTTGTAATACTTATATGTGTGTCAGTGATGTTTATCTGTATTAAACTTTGTTAAGTTGAAGTTTAAATTAATTGTTATATCATAAAATATTATATTTATATTATGTCTTACCTGGGTGCCTGCCACTGGGCGGCGTCCCACTATGTTATTGTACATAAATTATACATATTGCTTATTGTTTGTAATGAGACAGATTGCAATAAACATTGGATGTTAAAAAAAAAATTATATTGTCTAAAGTTATTGAGTTATTCTTTAATACATTTTTAAAAGTGCTTATAATCATATCACAAACAGAGTTTATTTTACAGTTTTTATTTAAATTTGAGCTCATTGTTGATTGGGAATAGTTAGGGATATTTCTATAATTTTGATATACCGGTTGACTACTAGTAGATGGAGATGAAAGAATCTCCTTATGCTCGTCGGAATATCCTAAACGGGGATAATTAGGATAACTTTCTAAATTTCGTCTGCGTTTAACTGGTACTGAGTAATGAGTGCTTTTATTTACATTCTTTGTCACCGTTGCGTAACTATGATCATACTTTTTATTAGCCTCACTATAGGATAAATTTTCTGTGGCCATATATGTTTTAATTTGTTTTTAACGATGAAATTCTTCACAATTTTTCCTATCCGTTGCTTCATGATTTCCTTTGCATAAAATACATGATATCAATTGCGAATTACATGAATTTGTTTCATGTTCATTGCCACATTTTCCACATCGAACTTTACCTCTACATTGTGCATTAACGTGGCCGTACCTCATGCACTGTCTGCATTGAATTACTAGTGGAATATATGTGTCAACATCGTAAATAATTTTTTCTATTACTACCTGTTTAGGTATCATTTGCCCCTTAAAAGTAACAATAACTGCCATTGTCGGGAGTAACTCACCATTTACCTTTCGTTTTATTCTCCTTACTTCATAAATTTTAAAATTATTTCCATATTTAGGTTTAATTATGTTTAATAAATCATCGTCTATGATATCCTTGTCAATACTTTTTATTACACCTTTTTTGTATGTAAAGAAAGTGGGTATATAAGCCTCGTAATTTTTTTTCCTGAAATACTTTAGACTCGACTAACTTATTGGCACTATTGAATGAATTTAATTCGACTTTAACTTTATTTCTACCAGTTACAGAAATATTTAAAATGTTATCCCTGATCTCCGGTTCTGCGTTTAAAATTAATCTTGCAGTAGAAATTTTATTAAACTTACCTATGTTTCCTTCTTTACTTTGCACAAATACATAATATGGACCTTGGTCCGTTGAACTATATTTATTTGTTTGTTTTATTATTTTTTCAATACCACCTGTTTCGTCGCTTTTTCCATTTCCGCTAAATTCCATATTCACTTCATCTATAATTATACTTTTTCCGCTATCAGGAGGTTCATATCTTCCGTCCGAATCCCCGATCATAACAATCAAAAACAAATAAACAAACACTTAATGAAGACTCGTTCACGCACTGATAAGAACTTTACCTGACCACTGCCAAAAACCAACTGTGATATATATATATATATATATATATATATATATATATATATATATATATATGTATATATATATATATATACACAACGCAAAAGTCTAGGGATATTTTTATAAATAGACGTATTTTCTTTATCTGTAATAAACTTAAAAAAAGTAAT